CATCTCATTTCCGTTTCTTTATGTCAATCTCGATTAGAGGTTGTCTGGTCCTGTCCTACAGTTGATCAATAGAGACGACTTCCCTTGTGGATTTCAGTCAAGGGCCTGCCTGGTGACACTAGAAGTAGGCTTGCGGATTGTGTGGCTGATCCATCCTCATTTCCGTTACTTGATGTCAGTCTTGATTGGGAATTGTCTGCTCCTGTCCCACAGTTGGTCTTTGGAGACGACTTCTGGCCACCTGACATTGAGGATGTTCCTGAGACATAGGTTGGTAAATGTCTGAAGGTTGTGGGTGTCGGTCTTGGTTAACTGCCAGTTTTCTGAGCCGTAAAGTAGGACCGACTTGACATTGGTGTTGAAGATCCGGATCTTGTTGTAAAGTCAGAGGTCTGTTGATCCCCAGGTTAGCCGCAGAGTGTTAAAAACGTGTCGTGTTTTGTTGATTCGGCACTCGATGTCTTTATCTGCCCCCCCCCCCATCTTTACTGACGACGCTTCCCAGGTCAAGGATATAATTCCTTAGTAATTATAATATAAAAATCTCTTTTCATGGTCTTTTAGTAGTTAAAAAGAGTTCTTTCATTTTTTTCTAATTTTCCTGGAAAAAATAACCCTAAGTCATTCGTTAATATTCTTTTTTTTAAATCATTTTCCCACAGGAAAGGTGATAAACTCACTAAGGCGCAATCAGTTACTAAGAGTGAAATAATGTGAGAAAAATTATTGAAGGGGGAAGACAATAAAAGAACTGGATTCAAGAAAACAGAAGATGGCTATTGACGTTTCTTCTTTTAAGATCATAGTTGGAACTCGAATCTCTGATTATTTTTTAAATATATTATCCCAAACAAGACAATAAAGCCACCAAGACGCACGGGGATAACTGAATGCTAGAGAATATGAGGAAAAACTATTAAGGAGAGAGGACAATAAAAGAAAAAAAATTAAGAAAACATAACATAACGATTGACATTACATTTAATTTTTAAGATCGTAGTTAACAGGAAATCAAGAAACCCTAAAAGAGTTCCTAAAACGAGGAGTGCTACTGAAGAAATTATTAGCATAGAACTTGCGGTTACATCTAACAATTTCAAAAGTAAAATGATGGGACCTAACTGCCAATCTAGTATTGCGCTTAAATCCGTGAAATCGAGATATCAAAGAGGAAAGTTAATCAGATAGAATATTATTTATGAAAATATTAAATATGAAGATATTAATGATGAAAATGTTAATTATGAACATTTCAATTTTATCAAGAACCTCCAGATATATAGCAGAAGCAAGAAACCAGAGATGTGGCATCAATGTTTTTGATAAATGTTGTTAGGATTTGTGAATAATTCTTTACTGATTCGTTTATATGATGATATCAGAAAGCTTTGTTCCTGTGGCCATTGGTAATTATGACAAGGTCTCTTCCTCCCATCGTTTTCAGTTCCCTTCACAATAGACATACAACCCGGTTACTCACTCATATTGAAATATCGTCTTTTAAAAATAACTAACCTAGACACATGCCAACTTCCTCGCATTTATAATGCATGGAAAATATATCACAACACCAATTTCTAGAAAAAGACAATCCTGACAAGAGCTATAGATTTGCCGTATCTGAAGCTATTCAATGGATTTTCCTATGACTCCAGATATTTCTATAAATATACAATTTAGAGATAATAGAGGAAACGGGATGGTTCATTCGGCTAATGATTTTATGTCATAGAATATTGCCTCGCTTAGTTTCGTCTGGTACACTCGTTACAGTAATTACAGACTACGAAAATAAGAATTGAAAAATTGCTTCACAGAAAGACACCGTTATATTTTGTGTTATTGCATTCGATCCCGTCATAATACGTTCTTCTAAACAAATTTCCAACCAATTTATAAATAAACAATTGAGTTAAGAAGTAAGGAAATGGTAATAGTGAGAAGAGCCGTTTCCACACAGGAAATTTTAGACATTATTGACCGAAAATTTAGTTTAATTGTCGGTGGAAAATTTGCAAACATTTTTCCCGAAAAATAAACATACCATGTTCACTGAGTGTTATCGCTGTTTCATTTAATAATTCTTGTAGAAAAATCATTTCCCGTCCTGTGTATGACGATAAAGTACATCTGCGTCCTGGGTAAGACGATAAACTACATCTGACAGCAAGGCCTTTGAGGAGAGTGGAACCACTTTTTAATTGCTGGTGTTCTCCGGTCCACCCTAACCCGGATTGGTGGCATCTATCAGGGTCCAAGCTATGGGCAAATAGTTAACCCCCTCCAAAAGGGGTGAAAACACTATGAAAATATAAAAGTAGATTTTAATTTCAGCAATGCCTTTTTGGAAAAATTATTACAAGTAGTACATTTCTGAAAAAAAATATTACCAACAATACATTTTTGAAAAAAATATTACTAGTGTTGTGTGGGAACCTATCACCCCTCTTGAAGATGAACTCGTCTACAAACAAGGACGTTAAATAGTGGCATGTCAAAAGACAGTGGGAGAAGTTCTTGAGCTGAGTTAGTTATAGACTACTCAGGCGATATCTGTACCAACTTACCAACCGAATAAACACCTTTTTATTGTTACATGTTATTTGGCGTTTTTCTTTATTAACCCCAAATTAACATCATAACAACTAGCGATAAAAATCATATCATATCGAGGTTGATATGCCGTAAATCAAAATAAACCAAACCAATCTAACCCAAAGAATACATATTCTATTCATACAAATCTATCCTAAAAATGTGTCGGCATTAAATAACCCATTGAGGTTGATATGCCGTAAAACAAAATAAATCAAACCAATCTAAACCAAAGAATACATATTCTATTCATACGAATCTATCCTAAAAATGTTGTCGTCATTAAATAACCCATTGAGGTTGATATGCTGTAAAACAAAATAAACCAAACCAATCTAAACCAAAGAATACATATTCTATTCATACGAATCTATCCTAAAAATGTTGTCGTCATTAAATAACCCATTGAGGTTGATATGCCATAAAACAAAATAAACCAAACTAATCTAAACCAAAGAATACATATTCTATTCATACGAATCTATCCTAAAAATGTTGTCGGCATTAAATAACCCATTGAGGTTGATATGCCGTAAAACAAAATAAACCAAACCAATCTAAACCAAAGAATACATATTTTATTCATACGAATCTATCCTAAAAATGTTGTCGGCATTAAATAACCCATTGAGGTTGATATGCCATAAAACAAAATAAACCAAACTAATCTAAACCAAAGAATACATATTCTATTCATACGAATCTATCCTAAAAATGTTGTCGTCATTAAATAACCCATTGAGGTTGATATGCTGTAAAACAAAATAAACCAAACCAATCTAAACCAAAGAATACATATTTTATTCATACGAATCTATCGTAAAAATGTTGTCGGCATTAAATAACCCATTGAGGTTGATATGCCATAAAACAAAATAAACCAAACCAATCTAAACCAAAGAATACATATTTTATTCATACGAATCTATCCTAAAAATGTTGTCGTCATTAAATAACCCATTGAGGTTGATATGCCATAAAACAAAATAAACCAAACTAATCTAAACCAAAGAATACATATTCTATTCATACGAATCTATCCTAAAAATGTTGTCGTCATTAAATAACCCATTGAGGTTGATATGCTGTAAAACAAAATAAACCAAACCAATCTAAACCAAAGAATACATATTTTATTCATACGAATCTATCCTAAAAATGTTGTCGGCATTAAATAACCCATAGAGGTTGATATGCCATAAAACAAAATAAACCAAACCAATCTAAACCAAAGAATACATATTCTATTCATACAAATCTATCCTCAAAATCTTGTCGGCATTAAATAACCCACTGAGGTTGACATACCGTAAAACAAAATAAACCAAACCAATCTAAACCAAAGAATACATATTCTATTCATACGAATCTATCCTAAAAATCTTGTTGGCATTAAATAACCCATTGAGGTTGATATGCCATAAAACAAAATAAACCAAACCAAAATAAATCAAAGAATACATAGTCTGTCTATATGTCTGAGATGAGGTATTATTTACATTATTCAAACAATTGTGATAAATATGGCGACAAAGATGAGGACAATACTACGAATAATGTAAATAATGCAAAGAATACATATTCTATTCATAAGAAATAATCCTAAAATTCTTGTTGGCATTAAATAACCCACTGAGGTTGATATGCCGTTACCAAAATAAATTAAACCAAAAATCATTTTCATTGCATATAATATGCCCTTTTATTTAATTAATTTATTAATTAAAACTTGTTTTTTTCTTATTACTCATATTATATGCGTTAATTTAATTAATGTAATAATTAAATGTTGTGCTTCTAATTAACTATATTGCGCTATACGTGTCAAGTAGTAAGGAATAATATTATCTTCGTTGTAAATTTAGAACGATTCTTCAAAATGATATAGGCCTTCCGTCCTTTTTAGGCGCTTCTCCATCCGTGTACTGTTCAGTTTTGAGCAGATGATAACTTAGTGTAGTTTCAAAAATGTTTTCAACATCAACTTTTCACAATCACCGGTATGATTAAGCAATCAGAAAAAAAATTAACTACTTTATCATTAACTACATAAATCTGTACACGACATTTAAGTTTTTAATCCATCTCCCATCTTCAAAAGAGTTTCATTGTCCTTGTAACGGTATTCAACCGGGGTGGGTTGAGCGGGCTCCAATATTGGAGTTTCATGGGAATTTGGAATTCACAAGCGGTCCCCAACCCGCATGTATAACACATGAGATTTGATTATAGTGGTGAAGGTTTCGTGCAGGACGATCCACACTTTTTTTAGGGCCGATTACAGAGACCTGGTGCACTACGTGCCACAAGGTCCCCAAAAGACCCTCCGCAGGTTTTGAATTCAGTTTTTTGAATTCAAAAAAGTTTGGTATTCATTTGTCTCTCCTTGTAAAATAAATTGCCAGATTCTAAATCAATCAATCAATCAATCAATCAATCTATCTATCTATCTATCTATCTATCTATCTATCTATCTATCTCATTTGTTCATAACTATCTATCTCATTTGTTCATATCTATCTATCTATCTATCTATCTATCTATCTATCTATCTATCTATCTCAGTTGTTCATATCTATCTATCTATCTATCTATCTATCTATCTATCTATCTATCTCAGTTGTTAATATCTATCTATCTCAGTTGTTCATATCTATCTATCTATCTATCTCAGTTGTTCATATCTATCTATCTATCTATCTATCTATCTATCTATCTATCTATCTCAGTTGTTCATATCTATCTCAGTTGTTCATATCTATCTATCTATCTATCTATCTATCTATCTGTCTATCTATCTCAGTTGTTCATATCTATCTATCTATCTCAGTTGTTCATATCTATCTATCCATCTCAGTTGTTCATATCTATCTATCGATCTATCTATCGATCTATCTATCTATCTCAGTTGTTCATATCTATCTATCTCAGTTGTTTATATCTATCTATCTATCTATCTATCTATCTCAATTGTTCATATCTATCTATCTATCTATCTATCTCAGTTGTTCATATCTATCTATCTATCTATCTATCTATCTCATTTGTTCATATGTATCTATCTATCTATCTCAGTTGTTCATATCTATCTCAGTTGTTCATATCTATCTATCTATCTATCTATCTATCTATCTATCTATCTATCTATCTATGACTTCTCTCTGTCGCTATATATATATATATATATATATATATATATATATATATATATATATATATATATATATATAAAAAGGTAACAAATCCGTTGTTATATAATCCAAGTGGATCCTAGTAATATAAAACTTAATAAAAATTAAAACTGATCCACAAAAAGAGCACAATGTATTTATTAATAAACAATAAAATCCAAAATCACCTCATATGGGGAATAGCCTATTTCGGTAGACGAAGATATCGATCGTCTGTCTTATCAACCCCGGTGAGGACGGAATACGTGACAGAAATAGAAATTTAACCGTGAAAGCAAAAAATAAAAGATAAAAAACAGTCGAAAAAATAGTATAGAATTTATCCATTTTAATGTTTCAGTCGGACTAAAGGCACTAGACAGGGATCAGGGAAGGGTGGAAGGTATTTGCCTTGAAGGGAAGAAGTTTTAATTCATTAGATTTTACAATTAAATAGCAGCATGGCTCGGCGTTGCCTGTGCTTGATTCAAAAATCGTACGACAATTGCTATCACTTGACTTAAAATATTATTGACCTTCCTTGCCTTTAAATGAGTGTCCTTTGCCGTGCTGATGTTGCTACATGCCTTACTTCTTGCCTATCTGACACTGCGAATTTTTTCTAAGCTCTATACCAAACATTAAATCTGTTACGAAAAAAGAACTAAACAAAATGAACACAAAACGATCAGCTTTAAAAAAGGACTCTTAACTGGAAAAAACAAATGAAAAAAGAATGTTAACAACAATTACATTTTCATACGCAACGCAGTTCTGTGTAATCAGAATCAACGTTGGAGTAAAGTGCCATGCAGATTTAAATTTTTCCCACTTGTGACAAATGCAGCTATCGATTTTTTTTTGCATGCTAGCATGCTAGTTAACATTCGTGTCAGTCAGCTGTTAGTTCTCACACTGGCCAATAGAATCTTCCTGCCTATTCGTGGCAGCCAGCTATAGGCTCTCACTCTGGCCAGTAGACAATGTCCGCAGACTACATGAAAACTGCCGTAGAAGCATGAAAAAATCGATTATTTCCACTATCGATGGGAGTTGAGAAATGCAACATCGGTCTTGGCCTTTCTGCTAACTTGGAGCATGTGCATGCAAATTTTGGTGCAAATACGTCGAAAATTGCGGCTGTGCATTCGTTACATACACGCACACATCCTGCCTTAGATAGTGATAATTTTATGATTAATGGGTGTATATATATATATATATATATATATATATATATATATATATATATATATATAATTATTATTTATGAAAAAAATTATAACATAAGTATGTTATAAAATCACTACAAAAATAGCCATTTTGTTTCAATACACTCGGTGTCTTATCAAGATAAAAAAAAATTGTTGGTTATTAGAATTCATTCCGTATATACCAATTATATACTTGGATATATATATATATATATATATATATATATATATATATATATATATATATATATATATATATATATATATATGTGTGTGTGTGTGTGTGTGTGTGTGTGTGTGTGTGTGTGTGTGTAAAAGGCAATAGGAAAATTGTAACAGTTGCCGACGCGTTTCGTCCGATGTGGACTTTTTCAAGGAAAAACAAATTAATTTATTAAGCGGTTAGATTTCGTTTTACCTTGAGAAAGTCCACATCGGACGAAAAGCGTCGGCAACTATTACCGTTTTCTTATTGTCTTTTACATTTATAAATTCTGAGAAATCTTTCATATATATATATATATATATATATATATATATATATACGTACATATATATATATATATACGTTGGTTATTGCAATTCATTCCGTATATATATATATATATATATATATATATATATATATATATATATATATATATATTATTATAAATTATTCATTATAAGACCTAATGAATTTATACGGTGACACTCCCCTCGCGGTTATTTGCTGTTAGTGAACTTACCTGTAAATCCCTAAAGGTCTTTGAATCGGATAATGTATGTCCTCCTACGGCCCATCAAATGATCAACGTGGCCTCTTTTTCACAAGCGGTAGGAAGGCCTCTGGAGTGATGTTAAACTATCACGTCTCGGTATCTGTTCACATCTTGATATTTGTCCATGATGGTTTTTGTGTGTAGACAAACCTTCCAGCATGCTTAACTGGTTGTAGTTTTCTTCGAAAGCCTTCGAAATGCTCCTCGAAGCAATGCTGGGCAACTTGGGCCCGATAGCAGGTTGTAATATCCTGCTGAAAGAACCTAATCATTGATGAGATTCATGGAATCAAGAAATGACTGACAAAGTGACGGTCAACAGTTGGTGATATGCTTAGGTAACTCCGGCGATCTAAACCCCTGCCACAGGATCACACCCAACACCATTGTGCAACGACCAGCAGCCTGCCAGGTCACGGAGGTTCAAAGCCACAGGTAAACTGTAGTACTCGTGTTAATCGTGTTAAGTTGTTGACAATTAACTCTGTTGCAAGTCGCTTATATTATGTCGCATCCCGCCATCAGGGGTTTGAAGTAAAATTGTTGGTTGCGGGTGTGTAATCAAGAAGTTTCTGGTCGTATACAATTGCTCTGACGGTGTTGTTTATTTGAAAATGTAATCAGTACAAAAAAGATAACATACCAACATAAATCATCATTATCCTGTTTCGACTGAAAATCAGTTTGATATTTCATCTTCAGGATATATGCTTGTTTTCAAGCATGTCCATCTGCGTTGGCTCATCCGCGCCTTTTCCAATACCCATAGAGCCAATCTCTCATTCATACTGCAACTATGCTGAGCAGACATTAGTTACAATCCAAGTATATGTCCCACGCAGGCTACACACCGCTTTGAATTATACTTCTCATATACTGGTACCCAACTAAGGCTAGGGAGTCCAGGAGAGTTATCCCATAGCTGAAGGAGGAAAGAGATGAATTCATAACATTTATTTTTTACGCGAAATTGAATGCATCGATCGCGACCGGAATTCGAACCTGGTTCAACCAGTTCAACACACTCAGTGAATTCTTTTGCGACTTGAAACCTTATGATCACACTTTTGCACTGGAAAGTAGATTTACATACACACTCACATATATATATATATATATATATATATATATATATATATATATTTTGTGTGTGTGTGTGTGTGTGCGTGTGTGTGTGTGTAAATCGACATTTAGAGGCGACAGACTGTTTCATGCTAAACGCAATCATCAGGCCACCAATGTATGTTGACTTCAATTTTCACTTTTATATTTATATACACTATATAGTATATACACTATACTATATCTCTGATATTGAACACTTTATCACACACACACACACACACACACATGTGTATATATATATATATATATATATATATATATATATATATATATATATATATATATTTGTACTTAAGCAACAAATTCTCTTTCAGATATGTCTGTTGAATGGTGAGAAAATGTGCTATAGCTGTTTCAATTTCTTTTATTTTCATTTTCTTGAAAATAAAAAATTTAAGCAGTTATAACACATTCTCTCATCCTTAACACAGAAGATTAATCGTGAGTATGAACGGATTTTGTTCAAAATTAGCAGACATAATGTCTGTAATTTATTCAGTCAATTATACACACATACACATATATATATATATATATATATATATATATATATATATATATATATATATTATAAATTAATTGATTTAAAAATATGTTTTTTCCGCTACAGAGTTCTAACCATGTTTCAAAATGGAAGCTAAAAGCCACGAATTTAATTTTGCAATTAAATTGAAGACATTCGTTCCATTTCATCCTCAAGCGAATTTTGGAGTAACTTTTAAAATTACTGGGTTTTAAAGACACAGCTAAAATCCCGTTTCCATGGTTACAGATAAATCCACTTCAACTGGACAAGGGGTGTCTGGGTTTTCCTTATGTCTGTATCATTGTATCGGTTATTAGCTACATTTGGGTAAGGGTAGGGATGTATTTTTCAATGAGAACTGACATCCGTTGAATGCATGTCGTTTGGATTTTTTTTTAATTTATTGTTAACGGCAAAAAAATTCTTACGGCATTTTTTTCTATTTGTAAATTTAAATATTTTTGGGGGTGTTCAGATTAGAATACTTTTTATTTAACTACGATTTGAAATATTCTCATTTTTAATTTTTATTATACTATATTTTTTTTTATGAACAGTTAAATGTATTAGAATCCCTTATATTATATAGGATTATTTTTACATCAAGTATAAGTATGTATATTAGGGTACATTTTTTTTTAAAGTAAAATTTATGACAATGACGGCAAAAATAGTTACTTAATTTCACTGATTTAGTAAACTTTTATTTTTTATATATATAAACCTAATAATATATTGTTTCTCATGTAAGTACAAAGGACATGGGTCATTCAAAGCTTACATCTTCTGGCATTTCATATTAATTTTATTTTTACTATAGGTGTTTTATTGGATTCTTTTAAGTGCGTGTAGTACTAAGTAAAAAAGAAGTTTAGGTTAGAATTCATTTTATTTAACTACAATTTTAATTACAACTTTAAAATATTTTCATTGTTAGTTTTAATAGACTATATTACTTTATAACAGAAGGAAATGTATTTGAAATTACTTATAGTAAGTAAAATTATTTTTCCATATCAAAGTATATGTATATTACGATTTTTAAACTTTATATTTAAATATTATTTAAGTAATATTTATGGCACTTACTGCAAAAATAGTTAATTCATTTCTCAGATTTAGTAAACTTTATTTATTAATTTATTTATTTATTTTAAATATATAAAACTAAGTAATAAAGTTTCATATGTATGTACAAAAGGACATGGGTCGTTTACTGGCCTACATCATCTAAACACCGTTATACATATATATATATATATATATATATATATATATATATATATATATATAGGTAGGTAGGTAGTAGGTAGAATATTCTATTTCAAGCATGTTTGGTAAGAATAATTTATGCTAAT